AAAAAAAAAATTTTTTTTTTTTTTTTGCAAAATCTTATTAAAACTTCTTTCTTAAAGGATTGAAGAAAAACTCACCCAGTGAATATGATCAAATGTGCAGTTATGAAAGTTCTCAATCTTTAAAAAGCAGAAGAAAGAAAAAAGTAAAATCCAAACTGATTAAGAAGTGAGGTTCGGTCAAACTTTGAATCTATAAAGGCTACACTGATGGCTATGAGCTCACCGGAATCCCACAACTCTCAGCTGTTTGCAAGTGACTACAAAAATGTCACTTTTTGCTATCTACTCACACAAAAAACCAGCTGTCCAGAGTATGTACGGGCGATCTCAAGATCTCTCCTTCTCTGGAGCGATTCTGGAGGTCCAGATCCAGCTGCTGTTTTCAGCTGTAATGTCTCCTGCTGTCCATGGGATGTCAGTTTGCCATTTCCTCACTGGAAGTCTCCCAAAGTTTGCCAAATTTTTCAAACAGAGCCCAGAAATTTAAAAAACTGTATTTAGATAAACTGGGTTTTCCAAAATTATCATTATTGAATGTGCAGTATTTGGATTCCCTGTTTTCAAAAGGAGAGGTGGATAAGGTTTTTAAAAAATTAAAAATGAAAAACCTCTGCTGTGATGAGTTAACAGGTGAATTCTATAAGATTTTCATAGATACTCTTGTACTTAAATTCCTGTCATTAAGCAATGTACTACATCAGGGAGATCTTCTATTATCCTGGCACAACTCTAAAATATCTCTACAGGTAGTCCTTGGCTTACGTCCATTTGTTCAGCAGTCACTCAAGGTTATGACAGCACTGAAAAAATGGACATACAACCGGTCCTCAAAGTCTGGCCTCTGCAGCACTCCTATGGTCATGTGATTGTGATCTGGGCGCTTGAGTGCCTGGCTTGTCATTTTGACATTGCAGGGAGCCACAGTCATGTGATCGCCATTTGCGACCTTCCCTGCTGGCTTCCCACAAGTAAAGTAAACAAGGAAGGGAGCAGGGAAGGTCGCAAGAACTCCAGTAAGTTGCTCCTGCTTTTTCTCCTGCCTGCAGCACCCCCCGTCCACATGCAGTCTTTGCCAGCCCTCCTAGTCCTTCTCACAACTCACACACAGGCTGCGTTGGCCCTCCCCTGGCCTCCTGTATGGACCTCTCTGGCCTCCCATGACTCATGCGCAGCCTGTGCTGGCCCTCCCAGGCTCTACTCCAGCTTCCTGCAACTCCCAATTGCCACAGTAACCTGAGGACTATCTGTAATTCCTAAACCAGGTAACATTGTCTTTCTACAGGCCTATCTCTTCACTTAATCTTGAATTCAATTTATATATTGTTAGCCATCTGTCACAAATTTAATACAGTATAGGAAAAATTATACATCCTGATTAATCAGTTTTCATTCCAAAAAGAAATATATCTAGCCCCATTAGAAAATTGCTAAATATTATTCATTCTAGTAAAATGAGCAGATCTTTTCTATCGGTATACTCATTAAAAATCTTTAAACCTTTTGTTTGTATGGAAGGGTTATGCTTAAAACAAACTTTTAAAAGATTTAAGTTTAGCAACTTTTTTCAACATGATGGGTTGAATACCAGTGTCTTTTCTATCGGTATACTCATTAAAAATCTTTAAACCTTTTGTTTGTATGGAAGGGTTATGCTTAAAACAAACTTTTAAAAGATTTAAGTTTAGCAACTTTTTTCAACATGATGGGTTGAATACCAGTGTCTTTTCTATCGGTATACTCATTAAAAATCTTTAAACCTTTTGTTTGTATGGAAGGGTTATGCTTAAAACAAACTTTTAAAAGATTTAAGTTTAGCAACTTTTTTCAACATGATGGGTTGAATACCAGTGTCTTTTCTATCGGTATACTCATTAAAAATCTTTAAACCTTTTGTTTGTATGGAAGGGTTATGCTTAAAACAAACTTTTAAAAGATTTAAGTTTAGCAACTTTTTTCAACATGATGGGTTGAATACCAGTGTCTTTTCTATCGGTATACTCATTAAAAATCTTTAAACCTTTTGTTTGTATGGAAGGGTTATGCTTAAAACAAACTTTTAAAAGATTTAAGTTTAGCAACTTTTTTCAACATGATGGGTTGAATACCAGTGTCTTTTCTATCGGTATACTCATTAAAAATCTTTAAACCTTTTGTTTGTATGGAAGGGTTATGCTTAAAACAAACTTTTAAAAGATTTAAGTTTAGCAACTTTTTTCAACATGATGGGTTGAATACCAGTGTCTTTTCTATCGGTATACTCATTAAAAATCTTTAAACCTTTTGTTTGTATGGAAGGGTTATGCTTAAAACAAACTTTTAAAAGATTTAAGTTTAGCAACTTTTTTCAACATGATGGGTTGAATACCAGTGTCTTTTCTATCGGTATACTCATTAAAAATCTTTAAACCTTTTGTTTGTATGGAAGGGTTATGCTTAAAACAAACTTTTAAAAGATTTAAGTTTAGCAACTTTTTTTAACATGATGGGTAGTTTTACAAATTCTCATAATTCGGCCAAATACATTAGGATAGAATTTCTTTTCTATCGGTATACTCATTAAAAATCTTTAAACCTTTTGTTTGTATGGAAGGGTTATGCTTAAAACAAACTTTTAAAAGATTTAAGTTTAGCAACTTTTTTTAACATGATGGGTTGAATACCAGTGTCCTAATAAGAACTAATAATTATGATTAAGAACAATTTCTAATCTCAAAACATACCAGAGCTGTCCATTAACCCCTTTATTATTTAATCTTGTTGTAGATACATTAGTAATAATACTTGATAGCAACTAAAAGAAAAGAAAAGAATAAAATAGGAAATTAAAAAATAGCTATTGAATCTATTTGCAGATGATATTAAGTTTTACAAATTCTCATAATTCGGCCAAATACATTAGGATAGAATTTGAAGAATTTGCAGTAGTACAGTATCAGGATTAACAAATTCTCAAAAGTGAACATTAATTTTTTTTTCATATCTCTCTTGGAATACAAAGAGTGACATCTAGTACTTTAAATATACTGTATTGGTAGAGTTCAAATCCTTCCAATTATCTAGGTAATATATTTATTTATAGTAATATAAATAAAAGAGGTAATTATCTAGGAATTAATATTACAAAACATTAACAAGTTGTTTAATAATAACTTTACTCCAGCGTGGAAGAGATTTTTTTTAAAAAAAGGAATGAAAACCTGAAATAAGAGATATTTAAATATGCTGCATTGAATTGCTGCTGTTAAAACAATGGCTCTTTTATTTTTTTTATTTCAAATTTTTCTAGAAGTACCAGATAAAATATTAATGCTATGGCAAAGAAAATGGAAAATTTCTGTTTCAATACTAAAAAATTAAAAGTTACCAGAAAGAAGCTATATAGGCCCAGAAACAGAGAAGATGGGGAATTTCTTCTAAAATTATATTACCAAGCAGTACATTTGAGTCAAGTTATTCCCTTTGTATTGGAAGATCCAGTAAGAAAATGGCTATAGCTAAAAAGAAAGAAGGACATAGAAAGATCCACAAGCCAAACATTCTTTCTTCCAAAAGATTTTATAAAAATAGCTACAGTAATATAAATAATATGTTCATAAAACCTATGTTTCAGGTTTGGAAAAAAAAAACTTTTATGCAGCACTTATAGAGGATATCTCCCCACTGGCACCTTTAATGGTATGCCCAGGATTAATGAAAAGAGGTAATACAACTGAAGCCATGAAGAGATCTCAGTCACTATAGAGTAAGAGACAATAATAAAATTGATTGATTGATTGATTGCACTTACGTGGCCTGGGAATAGAGCCAGGTTTTGATCATTCTACAAGCCTGCAGTGTTAGGGCCAACTGCATGATGGGGGTGGGGGGGGGAGATCAGTCCACAGTTCATTCCGCTATGTAATAAAGATGTCGTTGAGTTATAAATAGATTGCACAGTCTTAGCTATCATGGCTTCAACTTAAATCCTTTTTTAATAAGATATATGTAAATGAGCTGGCATTTTGTTGTCTAACAGTTTTTGAAAAATCAATAATTAAATAACCTAATTCAAAAATTAATAGGCTATTATCGGAATTGGATTTAGGTGACCCACCTAAATCTTGAGATATACAGTCAGGACCAGAAATATTGGAACAAGGATAATTCTTTTGGCATTTGGCCTCTGTACACTGCCACACTGAAGTTGAAAGGAAATGCACCTAGATGGGAGTGAAGTCAGGACATTGTGGGACAGGACCACAATGTATGAATCATGTACAGACATGATGGAAGCAAGGATAGTTTACAAAGACAGAAAGATAGACAGTGAAATAACAAATGGTGTAGGCGTAAACTAGATTTAGCTATATTTCCTTTCCTTTCTCATGCCTTAACTTCTTTGGCTGTTTCTTACTCTTTTACATTTTGTTTAATGCTGTTTATCCTGAAAAAACAGCATGAGGTACACATGTATGGAAGTGTTAGGAGATTGCAGTGAATGCTCTGTAATACACCTATTTCATTTAGTCCATAATTCTTGATTAAATTGCTGCTATATCCACATTGTGTATCTTGCATATTTAATTTTCAATTATTTTGGTGTTTAAACTTTATTTTACATGCATCATTACACCCTAATGTTCTTATCTGCTGCTGTCATTTCTCATTGCAGAATCTACATATTATCTTTTTTTTTTTTTTTAGGTTTTCTGACACTACTCCTCTCCTGTTATACTATTAGTTCACTAGATCAAGTTTAACAGAGCTAGAGTTCAAAACTATACTTTCCCCAAAATATTTTAACATCCTACAGAATGGATAGAAACTTACTTACCTGCATTTCGCTGACAGATCCAATGGGCTTCTGTATTACAGCTGAGAGCAACCAAGCTGCGTTTGGAAACTTTCACACAAGTATTTGGCTGAACTGGATTTGATAGTTGAAGCCTTTCCAATTAAACAGAAATAAAACAAAAGAGGAACCAAATTGCTCCCTCATGGAAATTAGTCATACAGAGAAAGTAACCATCTTTCCTCTTTAACACACCTTTATACTTGATTAAAAAATCCAGCCATATGGCAGCCTAATTTATTTTGGCTCTTTCCAAGCCACATAATTCAGAAACAAATAAAATATTCTTCACAAGGAAAACTTTATTATGTGACTATTTTTATCCTTAATAAACATATAAAAATGTATTGAAATTGCTTACTGATACAAAGAGCTGATGTACTTCTGCATATTTTTAGTTTTCCCACTCTTTTTTTAATAATACCAAGACAATGAACAAAAGACAAGAAGGCATAAAAGATATTATATTCAGATAAAAAGAAATAATATTTTAGTAAAATCAGATAAGATTGCTTTTCAGTTATTTCTTACCAAGAGAGATTTGTATTTGCTCGTGTGCCTTCTGACCATGAAAAGCTTTCAGTTTCTTCCAAATTATTCAATCCAATCCAAAAATTATCCAAAGGTAAATCTAAAATCCAGTTCTATAAAATAAATAAATAAATATTTAACAAACAAACAAACAAACAAA